AGCGATGGATTACGTCGGCTGGGGTCGTATTCAAGTTCGTATTTGCCTGCCTTGTTGGCCAAGTTTTTTATCTGTACATCTATACAAATAAATAAAATTGAAGTTTCTGTTTGTAATATCAAAATTACAGCGTTTTACCTAATGTATATGTATATAAACGGTACTTATAACAAAAATACACTTTTTAAAATTTTTGTCTGTTTGTTCCGGCTAATCTCTGAAACGGCTGGACCGATTTTGACGGGACTTTCACTGGCAGATAACTGATGTCATAAGGAGTAACTTAGGCTTTTTATAATAGAAAAATAATTAGGGTTCCTCGCAAAAAAATTAAAAGTAGAAGTCGCGGGGAACACAAGCACAGTCCACCAGATTGTAAGTGGACACTGTGACCCAAAGACATCTACATCTATCCTCGGTTATTAATCCAAATGCATATGCGTTGTCACCCCTCATGACTAAGATGGAATGGCTCGTTTCCAGTAAAAGGGTTCTCCGGTACTCTACACTCACCATACGAAATACAGCAGCATTGAGCTGCTATTTTACGCTGATATTCTGTAAAGGCGTTGTCCTTCCAGGGTTGGCATAAATAAATCATTTTGATTTAAATCATGTTTTAAATCACAAAATCAATGATTTAATCAAAATTATATCCAATATTTTATGCTGAACTTGTGGTTGATAATTATCATATTAAATAAATTATTTGCCGTTAAATCTTTTGAAGTGATATTTTTATTAAACCGTACGAAATGATATTTTAACATATAGACGTAATGCTATTGGTTGAATTCATTAGTGGATGATGTTAACTTTATGTACTTTGTTGTTACGCTATTGGCTGAAATATTGGTTGGTATTAATTCAAACGAAGCGCCTCAGTTTAATATTATTTTGTTTAGTTTACATTTCCATCAAAATATTACAAGGAATTTATATAAAAAGTTGGAGAAAAATACTATGGAAGTTAATTAAGACTTTTTATTTGGTTTTTTTATTATTTAGTGTAGTGTACAATTATAAGATTTTTATTACGATTTTTATTTTCACCTTTTATAATGCCGAGACGTAACACAGCTGTGGGATCATTTTGAAAAATGTGCCGAAGGCGAAACGTTTAATAATAATCAACATTTTATTATAAACTATATATAGTGTAAATATTGAATTAATAAACTTTTAAATACGCTTAGCTCTTAATATATTTAAGACTTTTTAATGCTAGAGGTCCTGTTCCCATGTTCCTAAGTATGAAGAAATGTTTATTGAATTAAAATTTCACGCGTAAAATTTAAATCAACCGATTAAAAATAAAAATTCAATACGAAAATAAGTAATATATTTAAGTGTTCATTTTATCTGTTAAAAAATTAACAAGTTACTTTTAAAAAATAAATAAATTTATCCATTAACACCATGTCTAATTCACACGTCAGACAAAAGGGAAATCCCCGCGCTGTCTTCGCGCAATCCCTTGAGGGCGCGTTCCGTTTTGCGAAAAAAATATAGTTAAATTAAATAATAAAATCAAAAAATTAAAAAATCATGATTAATTACGATTTTTTTTTAAAAATCGTGCTTTATTCGATTTTTTTAAAAAAATCATGATTTTCCAACCCTGGGTACTTCCCCGGTCGAGTCGACCCTATTCGTGCTACAACTATAATATAGCTACAGCGTGGCTCTACCACGTACGAAAAGTTAACAGTGGTAGAGCCACGCGGCAGCTTTTTCTGTCGCACGGATGGGCCGGCTCGAACCGGGGTGGTACCACGACCTCACAGAAAACCAGTGTGAAGTAGAGGTTTACCTCTGCGTTTCGCTTGGTGAGTGCAGGTGGCCGGAGGCCCTTTTTACTGGAAATGAGGCATTCCATCTTAGTCCTCACGGGTTACAACGCATCTACATTTTGATTTGTAATAGAGGATATATGTAGATGTCTATGGGCCGCAGCAACCACTTACCATCAGGTGGACTGTGAGCTCGTTTGTCACCCCCATTCTATATAAAAAAAAAGTCGGTTTGTCGGTTTTTAAACATAATATCTAATTTAAAAACATTTTGTTAAATAGAGTTATGTATATTTGAAATGATTTTGCTTAATACTGTATTGAAAATTTCAGAAAAAATATGTATTTAGGGCACCGACTTAATGAACAGCAGTGTGCTGAGCGCACACTTCACGCTGCTCATAAATTTTTCTGAATGTGGCCGTGTTTTAACCATTACGTCTAAACAAACCTCTTTGTGCAGGGCATTTTCAATTGTTATTTGTTGTTATTAACTGCAGTAGTTCATAGGAAGTGTTTGCTATTACACGCGCTTAACCTGTATGCATGTCTGTATGTATGAATGTAATGGAATTTTCTATTGGTAATATTGTATTTTTGATGCCACTAATGCTTTGTGGCATTCTTTGGGGGAGGCCTATGTTCAGCAGTGGACTTGTGAAGGGTGTAATGATGTAATGGTGTAATGATGATGATGAATGATGAATATTGTATTTTTAATGCTGTATTTAGAGGATGTAATAAGAAAGCATTTCTTTTATTATAACTTTTTAATATCCTTGGAATTAAGGTATGTAGGTACGCAAATTTTCGGTTTACTTTAAATTTGGTTAATATTAATCAAAAATTAATTATAATTAAACAGAAAATTAATGAATATAAAAATAATGTAAATTCCGCTTATTTTTTACTGTGCCCGGATTGCGTTGCACTACCTTTTTTGTTAGTAAAAGTTTCATCGTAATCGGATGAATGGCACAGGAACGCATACGTAGCAAACAAAGAGACATTCATTTAATATCATTGAAATTGTTACATTTTTAGATACTCCAATTAGAACTCGATTACTGCGGCTGCAAACAAAATATTAACAAAGAACTTCTAACGTGCAAAAAAGCATGTAAACAACAAATCACCATTTCTGAAACTGGATTGGAGCGATTCCTAAACTGAAACAAACCGCTATCGCAGTGTGAGCACAATAGTGTGTTAAAGCTTTGACTAGAAGCACGTGCAGGGCTCACGCGGTCATGTCTTGCGCTCGTTGGCTGCGATTGCATCGGTAAACAACTGACTATAGTTGAGCTATTGTAGCGAAATATTCTATACTCTATAGCTTGCCTTGCTTAATTAGTCTTCGGAATTAATAATTAATTCAGCGTTGCAAATGGTGCCACTTATTACCTACTTAATTAATCAATGCCTTAAAACGTCCATTTATCCAGACATACTAAAAATAGGTGTAATCCGACCAATCTATAAAAAAGGCAAACATAATGACTTTAACAATTATCGTCCTATAACTATTCTCTCCTGCCTAAATAAAATAATTGAGCGTTATTTGAGCAATGAACTAAACAATTACCTGACTACTTACAGTATAATAAATTCAAAACAGTTTGGTTTTCAAAAAAATAAAAGTACAACACAACTATTACGGCAATTTACTGATGAAATAAATAATTATCTAGATAATAAAATGCATGTTTTAGTAATATTTGTTGATTTTAGTAAAGCATTCGATCTATTGAATTTTGACACATTATACAATAAGCTATCACGCTGCGGTATTCAAGGACCATTCTTAGAACTTCTTAAAAGTTATCATCATAATCGTTATACCACTGTCAAAATATGTAACCAGACAGGTGATATGTTCGTGACTGACCGGGGTACAGCACAGGGTTCGATACTGGGCCCGACTGAGTACTTGCTATTTGTAAATGATATGGTTAATGCAATAACTAAGGGTTCTATATATCAATTTGCCGATGACACCTGTATCGTTATTGCCGATCGTAGTATGGATGTAGCACAAACTGAAATGCAGGCAAGTTATGACATGCTATGCAAGTGGGCACATGATGTCGGCCTAGTGGTTAACGCTCAAAAAACAAAACTTGTTCATATACACTCATCTCACAACAAAATTACCACTGCACCGACTATCATTTCCCATGGCCATGAATGTCTCCACGGAATGTTTCAACACTGTACTTGTCAACCCATTGAAAATGCCAAAAATCACATGTATATTGGTCTGATTATTGATGAACGATTTTGCTGGAGAGCGCATAAAGATCACGTGTGTGCAAAACTTCGCTCTGTGTTAACTTTATGTTTTAAAATTTAAGCTACCATATAATATACTTAGATTACTTTACATGGCTCTAGCAGATTCTGTTATAAATTATGGACTTAGCAGTTATGGAAGAACTTATGTAACGTACATACATGAAATTTACACACTACAACGCAAAATGCTTAGATTGATAGTACCTAAGCACATTAAAAACAAGTATATAGATAATGACCGGGGTCTTTTTAATTATTGCAAAGTCATAAATGTTTTCGATAAAGTTAAATTTAATATACTGACTGAAGTAAATGATTCAGAATACCTAGTTCTTAGAAAACGACCTGTAAATTTACGAAATATAGCTTATAAATCCAACATGTATGTACTTCCGAAAACTAAAAATTTCTATGGAGCAAGAAAGTTGGCGTATCTTGTACCTACTTTTATTAATGCCTTGCCACTAGAATTACAAAACACATACGGTAAATCAAAACTGTTTAAAAGTAAACTCAAATCATATTTGATAAATCAACCATACTTATTGTAGTAAGTACTTCATACTGGATTATTGTGATTTCATATTAATACATCTTTGTTTTTATAAGACGACTCTCTAGTGTAGATAAACCCCTAGTGGTTTATATGCTAGTATTGTACTGGATAATGTAACATAATTATGCTTAATAAATTAAAAAAAAAAAAAAAAAAAAAAAAAAAAAAAAAAAATAATGTAAACAATACGCATTGATTATGAGCTGCAATGATCCTTAAACCCGCTAAAATACTAGGTAATAGTCATGAAATGATTGTATTATAAAAATGAGGGCTTCTAAGATTCCTACGGCGCGGCGCCACCATTTGGAACAGCTTTACAAAACACTCTAGGACTGGGGCATACAAGCCTATGTGAAGTCGGGGCCTGCTGATTCGGTTTTAGTATCCGATTTTTGTGTATCGATATCTCGGAAACTAAGCAAGATAGCGAAACATTTTTTATTTTTTATTTTCAGCGTATCTCAACAAGATCTATGTGAATCCGCCTATAAATCGTGGCGCCGTTAGAAAAGTAATCGTGCCAAAAATTAATAATAAAATTGCATTCGTAATTATGTAAGCTAATAAATGCTTGACGGAACTAACGATGGCATTCAGACACCGGGCGCGCGGAAGGCTAAGCACCTGTGGTCTTGATTGCAGGTGCTTTTGTCCATAGCTAGGTATATTAATTAAGTAAATTATAGATAAGTTACGGCTTATATAAGTTCTTCTATTAGGTACAGTTACCTCTCATTATCGGAAGTTATGGAGTAATGAATCCACCGTGCGTTTGGTGTCTTTTCACGGTTTTCATATGTCTTTGAAATATTTTTTTTTCTCAGATATGCAGGTTTCTATGTTTTCTTCACCACAGAGTAAGTCGTAAATCAGTACTTTATATTCCGATAAAAAAAATTATTGGTGCCGGTAGGTATCGAACTCTGATTACTAGCTAGTGTGTCTGAGTGGAATTCACTATATTATGATTTTAAACTAACTTCCCGAAAAGCTAGAGACTTGAAATTTTGAACATAGCTCAGAATCTGATAACAATATAAGAATATGAAAAAATAAACCAAAAATAGTTTTATCAGTTGTCGTTGTTTACACTTAGAGATAGCACGTGTCGGTGTTATTAAAACGAGTTCTGAGCACCAGGAGTTACAAACAAATTCTATTTAAGTTCATTTTCTATCACTTCTTTTTTTTTTATATCTTTATATCTTATTCGATTACGTCGAGAGTAATTGTTAATAATAATGCATTGTGCACTATGCAATACGGATTTGAATGATGGCGTTAAGTGTGGATCGTGTAAAAAGCAACTTTGTTTTGGCTGCTCAAATATAACCGAAGCTGGGTATAGGAAGCTGGGTGCCGACCGAAGGGCTGCGTGGAGGTGTTCCTATTGCCGGAACCTTCTATACGCCCCTTCAACGCCAACGCCAACCACGTCGCCGCCGATCCCTGCCATTAATGGTGGTGCTTCAATTGATATGGTTCTGCAGGAAATACGTGACCTAAAACTACAGCTTCACTGCCTACCAGCACTCATTGATGACGTGAAAAGCATTAGGCGTGAAATACAAGAGCTAAAATCATCCTGTGAATTTAATAGTGAAAAAATAATTAACTGTGAGTCCAGAATAACTGATCTTGAATCCAAGACACCGAAATTGGAGCAAATAAAAATAACAGTTGACTCGACACTCTCTGAAATATCGACCCTGAAAAAGGAGTTAGCTGCTAAGGAACAATGGTCTCGACTTAACAATGTCGAGATAAAGGGAGTTCCCCTAAAGAGAGATGAAAACCTTTTTTCAATAGTAGAAAACATATGCACGCAAGTTGGTTACACGATCCCCAAACATCAAATAAATTACATAGCGAGGGTGCCGACACATTTTGGTAAAGATAAATCTATTATTGTCAACTTCATCAACCGCTACATAAAGGAAGAATTTGTAGCTGCAGCGAGAGCCAAGAAATTCATGACAGCGAAGGACATTGGGTTTGTGGGTAATGAACAACGTCTGTATGTTAATGACCACTTAACACCGTATTCTAAGACTTTGTTAACTAAAACCAAAGCTATTTGTAAAGATAAAGCTTATCAATACGTTTGGGTAAAGTATTGTAAAATTCATGTTAGAAAAAATGACACTACGAGGGTTATGATTATAACAAGTGATAGTGATTTAAACAAGTTAGCTTAAACTGCCTCCAAAGATATAATTCGCTTAACTTAGGTCTCAGTTTAATTACATATTGTTTAATTGCTTCTGTTGTACATTACACTCGTAATGAAATGTTTACAACCCCTGCTTTGCAGATGTATCGCTTTTGTTATTCTGTGTTTTTTTCTAAAACTCTTTGTTTGATATATTGCTCGACGTATAATTGTTCCTACCCGCTTCTTCGATATATTTTAGGTAACCGTATGCATATTGTGCTCGCTTTTTTCGCTCTTATACCCTATTTGGTATTAAATGATATTGATTGCACTTATTCCATGCTGCAAAAATGTTTTAATGTATTAATATGTTATCGTGTTGGTTTGCTTTCGTATCATGCTATTAACCCCAATATTAATAATATATTTTTAATTAGTTATTTTAAGACTTTTTGCATTCCGCTTAGTTTAATAATCTTGATTTTTAGTTGCATAAGCATTTGTGTTCACCTGCTTTTTCATTACACTTTAAACATTTTTTTTAATACTAGAGTTGGCTTTCTCGCTATTCCTCTTCGTAATATGATGTTGAACGATATTGATTCTATTATTTTTTTAATAATGTATTTATTATTACAGCACTGTTTTGACGTGATAATTAGTTACCATGTTTATTCGCTATTTGTGTTTGCAGTTAAAACCAAATTAAGGAATTTTAGTTATTATTTTAAGATTTTTTACATATTGCCTAGTTTTATAATTTCGATTTTATATTGTTTTTATTTTATTTTTAATTTAATGATTTACAATGGCTACGTTTTTTATTAATAATACGAATAGCTCTTTATTTAATATTTATTATCAGAATGCACGAGGTCTGCGTACTAAAACATCTGACTTCTACCGTAATACCTGCTCGTCTAAATATGATGTCATTGTTATAACTGAAACGTGGCTTCTGGATGGTATTTCGAACTCTGAGTTATTTGATGGTCGTTATGTTGTATGGCGCCGCGATCGTGATTATGCTGGGACGGGCCAATTGTACGGGGGCGGTGTACTCATTGCGACACGCAGAGAGTTGTCTGTTGAACCTCAACCGAACTTTAACTCCAGTGCTGAAGATCTTTGGCTCACGCTTACTGTCATAAAAAGCGATACTAAAATTCCTACTTTTCTGCATATTTGTGTCTTATATTTATGTAATTTACATGGAAGTTTTAGTTTCTCGGATCAGTTATTGAATTTTTTTACAAAACTTAATGATACAGTCTTAAAATATCCCACGGATAAATATCTTATAGTGGGTGACTTTAATTTAAGTAACATAAAATGGATACCCGCATCTAACTGTTCCAATTGTTGTTACCATTGCTATGAGCCAACGAACTATAGTACGCACAACGAACGGTTACTGGTAGATGAAATTAATGCGCTTAACTTTTGCCAATATAATGGTATACGCAATAAATATGGTAAAACACTCGACCTTGTGTTATCTAACTGTGATGTAGCCGTATCTGATTGTAGTGACGACTCTTTGGTACCAGTAGATCCCTTTCACGGAGCGTTAGTAATTGAAGTACGTTTTTATGAGTTAAGCACACTTAAAACAACTCCGTTTATTAAGTTTTTTTATAACAAAGGTGATTATCAATCAATTCATCGAAAATATGCTGAAATCGATTGGCAAACCGAATTTTCTTCGAAATCTCTTAATGATTCCATTAAATATTTTTATGAAATATTTGAGAAATTAAGAGATAAGCACATACCGTCAAAAATAATTAAACCGGACTCTTACCATACGTGGTATTCCCCAGCATTAAAGAAAGCAATTAAAGAAAAACATAAGTACCTTCGTAAATTCAGGACCTACGGTAATAGATCCGATGAAGAATCTTATAAAATACTGCGCACTCGTGTAAAATATTTGGAAGATATGTGTTATAAAAACTACATATCAACCGTTGAAAGGTCAATAGTAAAAAATCCTAAATATTTCTGGTCATATGTTAAACGTAAATCAAAAACTCACTCTATTCCAAGTAGTCTCAATTTAGGTAGTGTAATTTATAACACAGGACAGTCTATTAGTGACGCGTTTGCAACTTATTTCAAGTCAAATTTCTTATACCCGGTCGCTCAATCAACTCCAAATATTTCTAATGTAACATCAAAATCGACTGCAAATATTTCAAATATAGAAATTAACGTTAAGCACGTGTATCGGTTATTGAAAGATCTAGATCCATCAAAATCCGCCGGACCTGATAACCTACCAGCCATTTTTCTTATTAATTGTGCAGAGACGTTAACACTACCAATAAGTTTGCTATTTCGCAAATCGTTGCATGAATGCTCAGTTCCTGATATTTGGAAGCGTGCATATATCACCCCTGTGCACAAGAAGGGTCTTAGGACCGATGTCGCTAATTATAGGCCAATTTCTAAGTTGTGCATCATTTCCAAAGTCTTTGAAAAGTTGATTTATGAGCAGGTATATCCGTTACTAAAACAAAGCATAAGCCAGTCTCAACATGGTTTCTTCAAGGGTAGATCTACCGTTTCCAACTTGGTGCTCCTCAATTCTTTCTTGACTAAAGCCATGGATGATGGTCATCAAGTTGACGTTATTTATACAGATTACAGTAAGGCTTTCGACCGGATTGAACATAATTTGCTTTTAAAAAAGCTTCAGTATGTTGGTATCTGTGGAGATCTACTGCGGTGGTTCTCCTCTTATATCGACAATCGCTCGCAGGCTGTAGTTGTTAACAATTACATATCAGGTTGGGTGTCAATACCGAGTGGTGTGCCACAGGGGTCCTTGATGGGGCCGTTGCTGTTTCTTATATTTGTCAACGATATTGAAACCTGTTTTAAATCATCACACCTACTGTGTTTTGCTGATGATATGAAAATATTTTCCACAATCTCATCTCAGAATGATGCTGAATTACTGCAGCGAGATCTACTAAGATTGGAAGAATACTGTAATATCAATAAGCTTGATCTAAACCCAACAAAATGTACCCTTATTACATATTCACGCAAGCGAAACTTAATTAATTTCGGCTATCACCTTAAAGGCCAGAAGTTACAAAAAGAACCTGTTGTACGTGATCTAGGGATTTTCCACGACTCTAAGTTATTATTCAACACCCACGTTGACAATATCATAACTAGGGCATCTAAGGCGTTAGGTTTTGTCATGCGTACTGCAAAGGAGTTTAATAATATTAAAACAATTAAAATCTTGTACTGTACTTACGTCCGCAGTACGCTTGAATATGCTTCACAGATTTGGAACCCGATGTATCATACATACATTTCACGGATTGAAAATATCCAACGTAAATTTATACGATATCTTTGCTATCGTACCAATAGAAACTACCGATCAGAAGACTACTTATCCTTATGCAAACACCATCATCTGCTACCTCTGATAAAGCGTCGGGAGATTGCTGACACTGTATTTTTATTGAAAATCTGTTCTGGCAATGTTGACTGTTCTGATTTGCTATCACAAATATCACTGAGAACGCCTGTAGTGAACCTTAGAACGAATGCATTACTCTACTTACCAGCTTCATCAACTAATTATGGAAGAAATACTTTCATGTATCGGGCTATTAACAATTTTAATAATTTATGCAAAAAGCATGATTTTGATTTGTTTAATACTAGCTATATATCGGCAAGGCGGGCATTAAGTCGAGAATTTTTTAAGTCATAATTTTATTTATTTTAAGAAAAATTATATTGTGTGTTTCGTCCTGTTTTCTCTTTTCTTTTCTTTTGTGGCTATTGTTGTTTGTTTCACTTATTAAATTTATGCATGGTGTACATTTAAATTAGACTCCATTTTTGTTGCTCATATTTGTGCTATGTCCTTTAAACAACGAAATCGATTATGTTACTGTATTTCTATTAGTGAGAACCTGTTATTGGCTTTTTTTTGTAAATTTAACATGTTATTTACTTAAGATTTGTAAGCTGTTGGTTTTCCATAACATAAAAATAAAAATAAAATAAAATACTTTTTAATCCATTTATACCAAACATGTTTAATTACCGACGTTTCTTTTGCTGTTAGTTTTATTAAACGCATATAATTTGATAAATGTATAATAAATAAATCATAATGTTCTGTATGTTTTGTTTAGGTACTATTAAACCGTAACGCTGCGATTATATAACGGCAAATTTCACTCGTTTTTGTTGTTTACTTAATATCAGGATTTTAGCGTTTGCTTATAAAGGATATCCGTTGTTTTCTAAACGAATTTGATAGGCAGCCCGTTAATACCTGATTATATTTTGCATAATATAGACGATTATATAGAAGTTTGTATATCTTGCATTTACTAGGACTGAATTAAGGACTGAACTCTAGTTCAGTGTTGGCAAAAAGTGAGCATAAATACTTGCGGTGGTCACGCAGATAGAATTACCAAATGGAAAACTTAAAAGTCCTGACAAACAACCTGTATGCTTTTGAAAAATCCTGACATTATGTTGCAAACACAACTAATAAGCGTGAAAAAAAAAAACTAGTTAATTATTGATTTTGTGCACTCGCAAACCACGGCTCAGGTTCCAACTCTCCCACGCAAAAAGCTACTGTATTTTAATGACAAATCGAAAGTGTTTCACATTGCCGTAATTCGATCGCAATTCTGATAAAAGCCGAAAAGTCCTGACATGTCAGGAGAAATCCTGACATATGGTATCTCTACACACATATAAGTGTCTCGAGAGTCTTTTACATAATTTTTGTTTTAGCAAATATAATTACTGATAAGCATTGTTACCTAGTTTACGGATGGGTTTAATTTGGGTCTGGCAGAAGAAGCATGAGAGTAGAATAAATACTGTAGAAATGCGGTCATTAAGGAGTATGCTAGGGCTGAATCTGAATGACAGGGTGAGAAATAGTGTGATAAGAGAAAAATGTTATTTACAAGGTGACGTTGTGACAAGGATTAAGAAAGGAATGCTTCGGTGGTTTGATCATGTAGAAAGAATGAACGAGGAAAGAGTGACAAAGCAAATTTATTTTGCAGAAGTGAACGGCAGAGACGGGAAGGGACGCCCTAGACAAAGGTTTATCGACCAAATTGGTGATATATTGAAAATGGGCCAGATTAGGAGTACTCTTAACCGACGAGCGTGTATGCGTAGATCTTGCCAAATGGAAGTCCGTATTCTCTGCCTACCCCTCTGGGTGACAGGCGTGAGTGTTTGTGTGTTGTGTTTAGTTTAGTGCAATCCCAGTTTGTTTGTTTAAAATTACATAGTAAAAGACGTCTCGTACCTCAACTACTGTTCCATCGCCGTTCTCGATATTATAGGTGTACGCTCCAAAAGTCATACATTTATTTTATGCTGTCGCGTTTCGAATCACCGCTCCGCTGTTACTTATAATGCACCATTTTAAATTAAACTCAGTATGTGTAATAAACTGCTAAAGTAACTACACGTGTGGTTTAATTTATAAGCAGCTTGCTTATTTATACTCTAATTATACGCCACTCATACTTACGTCTTAAGCTAACTTTATAATTATAAACTAACTTAACCATCAAAGAAGCTGTACAAGTCGCAAACTGTGGCCCGTACTTTTATAGGTGGTTCTTTCCTTCATATTAATTTATCCAGCATTTAAACACCGTACGCATACCATGATTACAAAACACAGTTTCAGATAATCGAAAACACGGTAAAATATAATCAACCAACGTTTCTTAATTGGAATTTATAAAAATAGCTATCGTAAAGTATAAAGTTTAGTTTAGTTTAGTTTAGTTTTTTTAAAAAACGTTACCCCCACACTAGGATTTTCTCCTGTATCGTGGAGGCAGTTTACAAACATATATTGCACAAGGACAAACATCCAGACCCGGAACAATTATTCGTAGGCCATACAAATACTTGTTCCGTGCGGGATTCGAACCCGCGGCCCCAAGCGTTGCAACTCATTACTAAGCCACTACACCACGGAGCCGTGGTGTGTACATAGGCTGCACTAAAAGTATCGGGAATGGAATATTTCCACTGTTCCTGTCATATTAAAATCTTTTTAATTGAAAAGTCCTTGGTTTTTTTAAAATTGAATACCATTTATTTATTTAAAATAAGATTCTCGGTCTTGTCACAAGGTTTTGTCAAACTTGTTTAGTCGTTGAGAAAATGGAATTGACTCGAGAAAATTCAAGAGCGATGATTTATTATGACTTTCGAAGTAGTTTAACACAAAAACAGTGTGTTGACCGGATGATTTCTGCATTTGGTAATGAAGCCCCATCCAAAACCACAATTTATCGCTGGTTTGCTGAATTTCAACGTGGACGTGTCAAGCTTAGTGATGATCCCCGTCAAGGTCGTCCAAAAACTGCAGTCACCCAAGAAAACGATGGTGTGCGTAAGCTGATTGAGGAAGATCGACATGTGACATACCGCAAAATTCAGGCAACTTTAGACATTGGCGTGAGTCAAATACAAATAATCTTGCCTGAACAATTAGGTGTAAAAAAGTTGTTTTCCCGATGGATACCGCATTCGCTCTGTGAAGAGCAAAAAGCGGTTCGCGTTACTTGGTGCGTCAGAACTCTCGAAAGATTCCACGCAGGATCCTCAAATGCTGTATAAAACATCGTATCAGGTGACGAATCCTGGATATACGCGTACGAACCCGAAACAAAAAACCAGTCACGAGTTTGGGTGTTCGAAGTTTTGTTGGAGTTAAAGCCAACAAAAATTGTTCGTTCACGGAGTGTTGCAAAAAAATGGTGGCCACGTTTGTCTCCAAAACCGGC